GAAAAGGAAGAACCCACAGAGGGACAGCCCGTGAGGGCAGAGAGTGCTCTTCACAGCCTTCTAGGAGAAAGGAAAAAAGCCTTCTTCCTTTCCAACAGGAACCAGGATACAACTTCAGTGAGATCCCTTGCTATTAAACTAGCTGCCTGTAGATTTTAAAGTGGTTCATATCTGCAATGCCATAATTAAGACAGAACTGGTCTGATTAAGGAGGAAGTGTATCTGATTCAAAGTGTTCCCTAAAGTTGCATTGTCATTTAATAAAACATTTATTGGGACCTGCCAGCATTATAAAGAAAATAAACCAAGAATTAGATCAACCTTTTTTTTTTCCTGAAGGAATTGCTTCTTAAAGAGTATTGTTTACAAATTTTGACACAAAATGTTCCAGCTACATCTGGAATCAAGTATCCTGCCACTTCAGAAGTTACAAAACTACATATATTATCTCTTACATCCTTTTAGGATGTTAATTTTCCAGATGTGTTAAACAGTGAAGATGTTACCATGTACAAAAACATATCAGATATTTTTGCGCTCCAAAAATTATAAAGAACACATATGATGTTGCTTTTTAAGATCAGGCACGGTGCACATTTTTTAATGTTAAATATGACTTGTCAAAAATTCTGATCCTTCAACACACACCACATATTTTGTTCTTGGGCTACAGATGAGTTTGAACTCTACCTAGCTCTCTCCCTAGAAGTTACTTTTTTTAGCATCCAGAGATTTTGCACATTAAATGAACAACAGAAGACCAACTAAACTTAGTCCCTCAGCACTATTTCTCCTTTCTCTGCCTTTTAGAATTTCAAAACCTGAATCCACATTATAAGTTTATTAATTTAGTTCCTCCTTTACTTGAGTCTATTTGATGGGGACCATTGAACAGAAAGTTTATGCTAGTGCTGTTTTATTCTCCTATAAAAAGTTAGGTTTCTTTTTGAGAGGAAGAATTTTTTTTTTCCTCTTTAGGTACCTTTTTTACTTTTTATTCATTTTCTTCACCCTGGAATTCAATTCCCTAACTGCAATCTTTGTGAAGCAGCTTTGTTCTCAGTTCTTATCTACATTTTCCAAGACCATTACAACTGTAGTGGTAATTCATCAGCCAAAATTCAGTTTGCAGAATAATACAGTCTTGAGCCACTAACTGCTTCTTCGCCGACAGGAACTTAGCTTTGAACTGGCATGGAGAGATGGCAAGGCAAACACATTCATGTATCAGGCAGAGTCTGGGCATCATCTTCATGTTCAACTACAGAAGAAATCATAGTAATATGGCCTGAAGGTGATAAATTAATTTTGGCTAGGTTCCTGTTTGGGAGGAAAAAACAATTTTCCTAATGACATAAAGATGAAGGAAGACAAGGACCTTTAGGCAACTGGAATTTAGTCTGAGAGAGTCCATAATAAATCAGGTTGTGCTTCTCTTTGTTCAAAAAAATACCTGTTAGGAGATCCAGAGTCTGTTAATTTTTCTCTGACAAACCTGATTTTCTTGGTAGTGTACAAAATCAGAATCATGACTTGAAAGAAGAATAAAAGCAGGTGGTCAAGTACAAGTTTCAATTTTGTCATCTAAAATAAGTAAACACAAATCTGAACTGATGGGACTCACTTTATAGACATCTTTTGCTACCTGGGAACTCATCTTTCCATACCTGAATGAGCAAATTTGCTTGGAAAAATTGCGCTAGAAAAAAATAGAAAACAGCAATATTCTCACAAACACACACATGAAGTAACAAGAAGCCAGGTGGGAGGGGTACAAAATTCCATGGAAGCAGCAACTACAGAAGACACTGCCCCTTCACTCAGTACTTGGGGTGGGCAGACACTCCCCAGACTTTGAGAAAGCTCATCTTGTGAGCAGCATATTTAACGTGACCACTTCACTCTCCTGTAGCACAACTGTAATTGCTGACAGCAGCAGCAGCTATTGCCCAGGGGGGTCGCTCAGCTGAACATACAATGTTCCCGTGCCACAGTCCTATTACAAAGCTATCGGGCAGGTTCTGCTTCACCAGTCTCTCACTTCAGCCTCCGAGAGGAAACTGCCAGAAAAGACAGGAATTAATGTCTCTGCCATTGCCTTTAATGTAGAGTAGTTTGGGACCTCTGGCTATCTTAAACTTAGAGAGAGGCCATGTTCCAAGTCAATCACAACTCAGGTTGCTGTGAAAGCAGGGGCTCCAGCTCTGCTCCTCCCCGAGCTATGCATTGCTGCCCCTCCCTTATGCCCATCCAGGACATCACGCAGCCATTACCAGCACCAGAAAAGCATCAGGACACCTGGGCAGGAGTAGCAGAAAAAGCAGGAGCACTCCCTTCAGGGAGCTCACACTTTGATCAACACACAGTGAGCATGCAGCCAGCCCTCAAGAAACTACCATCCTGCTTGTACTGTACAGCTTCCCCAGTCATCGGCAGCAGCGCTCAGCCTCAGCCGCCTCTGCCCAGAGAGACAGAGGCTGAGTGCAGGACTAATTGCTGCCTGCCCTTCAGGACAAGAATGCCAACACCTGGGTTTGTCAGATTCTTAAATATCAATTTCAGGGTGTTTAAGAAAGGAGAGGTCATAGCTAAATGCTATGTTTACGGTGGGCTAAGAAAGTAACTTTCTCTGTGAAAAACTTATGTTTTTCATCTCGACTGCACATTACATATTTCATCCCAGAAATTAATAAAAAGCGACAGCTAGCAATTAGTTTATAAAGTAAAGCTTAAAAAGCTTTTCAAATTGACTTGGATAATATGCAATTCTGTACCTAATATACTCTCTATCTGAGGGATTATATCAGCTATTACTCTGTCACTCCTGGTATTACACAACAGCTTTTCCCATGGCTGCCCTCTGAGATGCCAGCAAGTGACTGTTCTCTCTGCAGGAAAACCAGTCGTAACAGCTTAATTCCTCTTCTCCCTTTCCCTCCCCTGCCACAAGAGAGCTCTCACACCCAAAAGCTTCTGACTTTGCTTTCAAGAACACAAATTTGCTTTCAGCAGTGTCACATGAAGCTCCAGTACCTCAGAAATTTCTGTATCTTTGAATGAGCATCTTGTAACTTCTGTGGTGATACTTAAGAATTCTGACAGCAGGTGTATCTATCTCAGGAGATTTATTCAAACCGTGATGACACTTAGAAGTAGATAGCTGGGAATGAACAATTTTTGAGGCCTACCTCTACCAGGCTTTTAGGAATTATTTATCTGAAACTTTTCATGCAACCAATTTGGACATGAACAAATAATGCAGTTGGGCACTTACTTGTAACCACCTGTAGAGGACCAAGAAGCCTCTCTGAAAGGGCCAGGAACATGGTACTTTGCCTGCTCTGTTTCAGTGCAAAGTAAATAATGCCAGCCTCAGCCATTGAGGCAGCAGTGAGCTGCTGCAATACATTCATTGCAACATTCCTCTGATAACATCATACTCCAAAAACCATACAACCACCACCAACTCCATGCCTTGTTCTTTAGATGTGCACCTGGGCCATAGTAGATAGCTTGCATCTAAATCAATACCTTCTAGTCACAGCAATGCAAGTTCCTAATACTTACGAACTCACAGTATACTTCAAATAGTAAAATATTCAATTTTGGAATTTATTTTTCAAATTTTTGTTTAAACAAGACAACCAACTTCTTCTCAATATGCTGACACAGCATGTCAAGATTTTTTTTCTCTTAAATACTTTTTTCCGTAAAGCAAGGACCAACAAAAATCTGTACCACTTTTCATTATTGTAATTGCTGCTACTGTTATAAATAAAAAGCAGTGTGTCTCCACAACTATGGAAACCACCTATGCTTTACACTGAAGCTGTTCTTGCCAGATGACCACCCCTTGACTTATATTGCTGTCATTAAAGCACATTTTTACTGAAATCTGGACACATGTTAAAGAAATCTACAGCATTTCAGTGCTTGAATCTGATTTTCTCTCAAAAACTATGGTATAGTTCATATGGAAAGATAAAGTAAATTAGTTTTACCGGTAAATTTTGCAGTTAGCAAGCAACACGAGTACATTTTATGATCTGCAGCAATACAAGCAAGGCTTGCATAATCAATACTGAGTGCTACCTTAACCAACTAAAATGTTGACCTCAGTTCTTTAAAAACAAACCAGGATAACTTAAATTTGAAATTTTTCATAGCACTTTTCTTTGTCACACCACCTTTAGCAGTGGTAGTAAAGGGTTCTAGGCTGCTAATTGCATTCTATCGCATTAATTCATGTGCCAACCTGAAAGCACAGATCTAGACAGTTCTGTGCTTTCTGTTCTGAATGTTGTTCAGCCTTTCATATTTACTCACATTCTTTAGTTTCAAAAATATAGAGAAAAGCACATGCTGAATTTTCTATATTACTTTAGTTCTCTGTTTGATGGGACTTAAGCACATGCCTAAATGCTTTCCTGAATTGATGCCAGTATACTATAAAATGACAATACTATTCACATTGTAAAGAAACTTTGAAGGTAAAAGTTACGTCTCAGAAACAACATTCAAAAATGTATAAAAATAAGAATTGTCAAACATTTTACAACTCAGCTTTAATAAATTAAAAACTTCAAAACAAATGCTTTATTACAAGCTTCTAAGAAGGAATGCATCTAGTAGTACAAATTAATGGTTTCTAAATGGAGGATCAGTATCTCATTGTATTTTACACAAAGAGCTAAAACCCCATTGCTATAACAATACAAAAAAAGAGAAAGCTTTACAGATCAGGTTACCTGTCTGATTTGATGTTTTTAGTAGACTACACATCTGGCTAGAGCCATTTCAGAGTCTCAATCACAATCTTTAAAAGTAGAGATTAAGAAAAAAGAGGCAGTTTATGACTTCTAAGTATTTACTACCATTCTATCAACTCTACAAATGTCTTTTAAAAGGAGACGTAACTAGTTGACAATTATAAAGCAGCATTTTGGTGTTGCTCTGTATCATGACATATTACTTAGATTAAATGGTACGTATTATCTTACCTGATACATTCCAACTCCTATGTGTTTGGGCTCGATTTTCACTAGCTCAGCTAATGGGTCTTGGACACGTCTAGCTATGGAAACTGAAAAACAGAATTAGAAAACAACTATGGGTTTTATCTTAAAAATCAGAATGATGTGATTTTTTTAAAAATCTTTTACATATTCAATCTCTTTTTTTTAAACCTGGAAATAATCAATAATCCTTTTTCACTGTTGGACACAGGACATGAAATGTATATTAATCAAACTTTTTAATTGAATAATTCAAGCAAAGACCTAAGGAGATTTCAGACTGTAATCATGACATTAAAAAAGTTTTTTCAGGCCACAGAGTTAATAAATACAACTGAGTAAAAAAAATATTTCCCTGGTATCCATACTAAATGCACATGCAGCATTTAAAATTAACCTCTGAAATATCCTTTAACCTTATAACACAGATATGTAAAAATAAATAAATATTTAAAAAAGAACAAAGTAACTGTTCACAAGCCTGTTTATCATATATAGTATTTCCTAAGGTATATAATATATAATTATATATTTATATAATCCATCCATAAAATTCAGTGTTCACTTTGAAAATGGTTCTTGGACTTTACTAATCTAAACTGCATACCAAAACACATAAATTTTCGATCTGTCATCATTACAACCACATCTAGGAGAGGAAAAAAAAAAAAAGCAATTTTCAGCATTTTTGGTGCCATTAAGAACATATGGAAAGAACTTTTGCTCTTCTAAATCCAAGTGTTGAATCACGACTGCATTTTTGAAGCCTGTATTTATTGATAAATCCTTTACTTACTGAAATATCAGAAAAAATACTTATTTGCAAACGTCAGTTCTCAACCTCGGTCTAGTTCTGCAGATACTGGGTTGCATCCAGTATTTGCAACTGTGCTCCCTCCCACATATACTGAACTAGAAGAGTTCTACTCTACCAGTATTACATTTACAAACTTTTTTTCTCTTGAGTAAAGACAAAACAGATTATCTTGTTTAGCAGCTCTTAGAACATTCATTCTACCTAGTGAAGTAAACACTGATGAAGAACAGGAGTGTTTGGAAGTACTGCAAGTCTTTCCAAAAAAGGACCAAAGGTCTTTAAAAAAAACCAAAAAACAAACCAAGAGACATTTCCTAAAACTTATTTTACATTTACATTCATTTTTAGGCAGATCAAGAGAGGGTTAGAGGAAGAACAGACAGGAGCCAGGAGTAAATATGTATATGTATAGCGGTTTGGTCAACAACATGTACATAAAGTTAAATCAGAAAAACTGGAAGTATCTGCAGTGGTCAATAGCTGATTTTATACACACACATAAGTATAAAATAATGATGATTATTATAATTAACATATAGATATGACATATATATAAAAATATATAAGCACGTTTACAGAATTCAGACTTGTCTGTCCTCAAGAGGTCCATCCAACCTAAACATCAGATTGTCTAACATCCCTGCTGAAACAGGGTCAGCTGGAGCAGATTGCCCAGGGTCACGTCCAGTTGAGTTTTGAATATCTCCATCAGTGGAGACTCCACAACCTGTCTGGGCAATCCATTCCCATGTTTGACCACCTTGACAGTAAATAAGTGTTTCTTGTGTTCAGCTGGAACTTGCTGTGTTTCAGTTTGTGCCCATTGCCTCTTGTCCTGATAGTGGACACTACTGATAAGGCTCTGCTTATCTTTTCTTCATGCCCTCCCATCAGGTATTTATACACATTCATAAGATCCCTTTGAGCCTTCTCTTCTCCAGGCTAAACAGTCCCAGCTCTTCTCAGTTTCTCCTTGTGTGAAAGGTGCTCCAGTCCCTTATTCATCTTTGCAGCCCTAACTTAAATAGCAACTACCACTGCTGACAAGTGTTAAAGAATTCACAGCATTTCAGAAAAGGACTTGACTAAACACTGATACTTGAAGCCAAAACAGTAGACAGACCTAACATTTATTGGCTATGCAGGCTCCCCAAACCACAACTCTGAAGTTTATTGATTAAATGTAGCATTAGAGATTTCACTTTTAAACATTTGCATTGCTAAATGCACAGCTAATGTGAAGTTCACCGCTTGGTCATGCAAGACTTTTCATATCCTTTATTATCCATTTTAACATATGCTGACAATGGCAGTTTGCTAGGTAGGCTGAGAAAGCACTGTGATGGTGACATCTGATATGCCTGCTTCTCTGACAGAGAACTTCTGAATTCAAAGGCTATCACATATGCCTTCTTATAAAAAAAAAATCACAAAAGGTTAACCTGTGTAAGTACACTGGTTATCGCTTACACAAGTATAGCTTACTACAGAAATGCTCACCTATAACAATAATTTATATTAATTACTTTGAAATACTAGTGGTACCTATCACCCGTCACCTAACAAACAAAAGTGGAACAAAACACCCATGAAAGTAGTATTGATCCAAACCAGGAAACATTTAAAACTATGTATTTCTTCTGAATGCATTTACATCTATGTATAGGTACTATGCTTGGCTTTCAGCAAACTTAAACTAACTTGTTTAATAGCTATACAGTGTTTTAGAGAATTTTTTTAGTTCCATCTAATGGCAAAACATATTTCAAAAGTTACATTTCAGACAAGCTGTGGGCAGATGTGTCTCACTGTCCCCATTTCTTTTCATTACATCTTTTAAAAATAGACAACTACATGGATAGGTTGATGTAGGAATTTTCCTAGCATAACCTTCTCTCAGGAACCTTCAATTAAAAAGTTAAATTTAGACTCTTCTTGTCATAATAGCTAGGTTGACAATGCTGTCATATCCCTAGGAGGCTTCTAGCAGAGGTGTAGGACCTGATCCAGGAACGCACTTCAGCACAGATGTATGCCAGTATTCCCACCGGAACCAGTAAACTATTCACATGCATAAAGTTATACGGACATTTAAGTGCTTTCCTGGATCAGGCCTAATAGTTACAATATTGAAGCGCAAAGATCAACCAACAGTCCGTTGTACAATTTAAGGGATGTAGCTCCTTCGGCCAATACCAGCAGGATAGCTTACCTGTGGAATTCCCACTAAAGCAGCAATTTTACTCCAGTACTTTCCAAATTCAAAATAAAAGAGCACAATATGGAAAAGGCAAAAGTTGTCCACATTCTCTCTAGGCACAAATTCAGTCAAGATTAGCATCTACTGTCTCTTGTACAGGCAAAACCACTTTTTTTTTGTTACAGTACTAGCATACTGCAATAGATGGATCTTTTCAGGGGGCAATGAGCCTCCACTCTGGCAATTTAATCCATCTGGCTGGACTCTTACAATACAAGCAGAATATTACTGAAATCGAGGGCTCTGCAGAAGTGCAAGGTCTGCTACCGTGGACCAGACAGAGACAGTAAAACCTGATGGTCTTACATTTTCCCCTGAAAAATTAAATCAAGACATTTCAAAAAATTCTTAATATTAAACTATTTTACACTAATAAGGTATTGCCTAAAACTATTTGTTTACATGCTTAAAGTAAATTCCATGAATGGCTAGAAACCATGCATTTTTAGAAGACTGAAATTAAACAAGTAATCCATTCTCACTTCTACAGTTAAGGTATGTTTCACTTTTGCTCAAGCAAATACAAAATAAATTTTGTGATGGTATGCAGGGTAAAAACAGAAATCAGATTTCTCAAAAGCAATCAGCAGGGCCAAACATGAAATGTTTGAGATGCTGTTCCTCAAACATGCTAGTCTAAGTAAAATGTTAAAAAACTTATTCAATATTAAACACGGTATTAAGATCATGATGACATGACCCTCTATTAGAAAATCACCACAAGAATTGCACACCTGATAGAGGCAAAGCTTCAAGTTGTCAATTAAGAAGAAAACATTATTGCAATATTTGTAATGACAGTAACATTGCTCTGCCATGCAATAAATCCATGTAAAATTTTAAAGCTTGGGGGGGACAGGATGGCCTAGGTGGTCCTCTGACTTTAACATAGATGAACTTGCCTCCAAATGCAATGAAAAATAAAGAAGGTTACAAAAAGCATATTTACTGAAATCTTGCCTTATCATTAGGACATTTTGTGCTATTTTGTAAGAATGGCAATTTAACTGTTTGGTGGTCTTGATTCACTCCATACTTTGGTTATTTGACAAGACAAACCCACCAGAGAAGAATTTTGCCTGTCAGCGATGAAATGCAATGACAGTATGGTAGGCAAAAAGCCTTCATAAGAGTCGCTTGCACAACTCATGTCAGTCTCAGTGTCTGATCTGCACAGAAAATAAGGAATTATATTAACATGTTTTGTTTCCCAAAGGCTAATAAGCAGATGTACCCTCAGGAACCTGCAAACAGATTTAATTATCTGGCTACTCCTGTCTTAAAAAGATCAACTCTCTCTTAATTCCAAAATGACAAATTTAATATTAAGGCTGTTTTCTTCACACATACACGCCACATAACTTTGTTTTTACTAGTACTTTCTAGAGCAAGTGATATAATTTTTCACAGGGATTAAAAAGGAGAGTTTCCACTCTGGAATACTGGTAATAGTTGTCAGGCTTAATCTTTTCTGACCAAATGTAAAGTGCAAACTCTCAACAGTGAGGGGCAAAAACAATATAGCAGGCTTCCAACTATTTTTCTAGATGGTGTCAATGCAAGGGCCATATCAGCTGCCAGCCCCAACACCAGAATTAGTGCTAACTTCCTAATTAGGCTACCTGCCTCTCTCCAGTAATGGAATAGATCTAAAGCAATCGTTATGGCTGAAATCAGACGTGCACACTATTTAGGGTGCAAGAAGCGCTAGAAATCTTGTCAACTACATAACAAATTCTATTATAAATAGTTGCAAGTATTGTGCCTGCTTTGGGGGCAGCCTGCCAACTTCTGCATTCAGACAATCACATATTATAATATTCTCCTTTTACATTGCTCTATGTAATAGCCACGCCATAAAGCAAAAGCTTAATGGCTGTAGATAGTGAAAGAGTAAAACTGAACAAAGTTCTCACAAATGCAGCGCAAGAGACTGCCAGGAATGATTATGGGTGGAAGAAGAAAAAAATTCTTTCAGTTACAGTGGCATT